GTGCTCTTAACCACTGTACCATCTCTCCAGCCCCTATGGCCTCAAGTTTTTACATGAACCCCCGAGTTCTTGTGTTATTTTTGACAAATGTGTTCATCTGATACATTCTGTTCTTTTTGGATTTCTCCAGGCCTACAGGCCACTGGCCGTCCCTTGTGCCCAGAGTACGGTAAGTGCCTCCCAACTCCGACTCTTTCTCCATTATGACCCAGGGAAGCTCTTCAGAGTGCTTTAGGTACTGGGTCTGTGGAAGAACATTGCTCCACAAAGATCCCAAAGTAATGGTGCTAGAGAGGTGGCTCAGTGGTTAAGAGCACTGACTGCTTTTCCAGAGGACCTGAGTTCAATTCCCAGCGCCTATGTGGCAGCTCATAATTGTTTGTAACTCCAAGATCTGACACCCTCACACAGACATACATGCAGGCAAAACGTCGGTGTACATAAAATAAATAGTTTTTTTTTTTTTTAAAAAATCCCAAGTCAAAGGCCAGAATATTCCTTGTATTCCCTAACATCCTGGTCTCTATCATAGGTATAAGATCTTCTGGGAAGGAACATCACCTCTGTTTTCCATCATATCAAGTCAGTCCATGTACCCCATTGCTAGAGTTTGAAGGTGTCTTCCAAATTTCATATGTTGAAAAAGTTAATCCCTAATTCATATATTTATAGTTGGGACATTTGAGGGGCGATAAGGTCATTAAGAGTTCTGTCCTCACAAGTAGACTAAATCATTCATGGATCAATGGATGAACAGGGTGCCCTGTCTGGCCTCTGGCATTTTGTTTTAAGAACAGAAAATGGACTAAGACACAGAGCTGGCTGCAAAAGTGCCCAGGTAGGAACATGGACTCCAGAAGCAATTCAACCAGGATGCCATTTACATCAGTTGATCTGTTTCATCCGGAAGTGATGCAATATGTGACCACAGCCTTGAGTACCAGTTACTCTATTTGGACTGGCTGCAGAGATGTATAGGCAAGGGCCATATCCCGCACAGATTCCGTGGGCTCTTCCTTTGGCCACACGGCACACCAATATAATGGCACCAAGTTGTTGCTACTGTTGTAGGAACCTTTGGCAGGGTAGGGTTTCACCATTTCTGCTATGTTCCACTTCTGGGGACCCAGGAAAGGACCCCAGGACTGGCCTAGATTGGGTGGAACTGTCTCCTTAGCATCTGGACATGCGTGTCCTTTAGGAAATGAGAACAAATGAAGCCAAGGAAAGGAGACAAGGCCTATATCCGAGAAGGAACATCATGAGACAGGCCTGGCGGAGCGGGGAATGTAGGCTTTAATCAGGAAAATAGACGCGACACCCAAGGGAGGGCAGAGAGATCAATTGGATGCAAAGCTGGGCAATCAGAGGGGTTGGGGGTAAAGGAAGGTACAGAGAGTTTGAGGCATGGGAAGGGACCAACCTGAATGGTACCAAAATGCCCATTTAGTTCTGGAGGTGGGAGTTGGGGGGCCTGAGGGAGCCCAGGGGTACCTGTGATACAAACTAGCTTTCCATCAACCACACTGACCTTACTGATGGCTCCCTCCCCTCCAGCTCAATAGGGACTAAAAGCTTCTGGGAGCCCATACAGGGTTAAAAAGGAGACATCAAACAAATGGAAGTTCCTAAGTGCACTTCTAACTTCAGAGAAAAATAAGATTAATCAGTGGGTGTAGGAACTTCTAAAGAAAAGAATCAGAACTCCTTCTCTCGCAAACAAAGCCCGACCCTCTCAGCAATCACCACTCTGATTGCAAGGGTCTCACTCAAGTGCCTGGAGAGCCTTTTACTGCTAAGAACTGCAGCACTTCACATAGGGGAATTACTCAGAATTCTGCTCTGGTCTGCATCAGCTCAGACAAAAGCCTTAGACAGCTTTCAGGACACAGCTAGCACCACGAGTTCTGTTTCTTGGGGGAAAGAATAAGATTTTTAAAGTATGGAATGAGTTCATAGTCACTGAAGAAAATCTGTGAAACTCACAAAATGTCTACTGAACAAAACAAACGTCTATGTTCTGTAATCCAGACATAGCTTTTATTAAATTTTTTTTCCATTCTTTTCCCTGTGGATACCTGTATTTTTCTTCTCCATACATATCAGGATCATATCAACGAAGAAGTTCCCCGGTATTCTTTTCATTTACTGCATCAGGACTAGTTCTCCATTGCCCCACTTAGTCCTTGAAATATACTTTTTAATGATTCTGTAAAAATTCCTTTTATGAGTATGCCATCACATATTTTAATGATTTTTTTTACTTGGTGATCAATTAAGTTGGTCCCATTTTTTTCAGTGTTTTAAGTAAGAGTCCAGTTAACATCAACGAGTGCCATTGTCCAACATTGCCCTGATTATTTCCCGAGAAACTCTTAGGATATTAAGATTTGAGGATTTCCAGCCAAGTAGTGGTAGTGCACACCTTTAATCCCAGCACTTGGGAGGCAGAGGCAGGCAGGCCTGTGTGAGTTCGAGACCAGCCTGGTCTACAGAGTGAGTAAAAAAGAAAAAAAAAAAAGAATTGAAGATTTCTCTGTAGCTTTTATAAATTACTCAACACACACACCTCTTTCTGTGCACACTGGTTGTGTCTGAAGGCGCTTATTTCATGAATCATGGATGCCATATAGTTAACATTCTAAAAAAGAAAAATATCTTTGGTCTGCTGGTTAAAAAATGTGACTGACTTAGCTCCTGACCTTGTTAGACACAGCTTGCTATGTTTATTGAATGTCTTCTTCCATGGAATATCATTTGATACAATTTAGCCACTTTTCACGTGGAGAATAAATACCTCCCTTTAATTTTTGTTCCAGTTTTGACAGAAGCAGGATCTGAAAGAAATCTCCCTGCAAAAAGCCTTTTGGCTTGTAGCTTGACACTGCCAAAGACGTCCACGGATGTGCACTATGAAAGCGAGGGTGGCTCTTCCTGAGCAGAGTCTCTTCAAGTGTGGCCTTTGAGCTCTTCTGTATCAAAATCCAGGGGATGGAGAAGATCCTATGTTTAAATTACTCCACCCCAGTCACAAGGCGCGCCATATCAAAGAATCCACACTTTCATAACCTTGCTATAAGCCTTATACGCTGCTCTGATTTGATAAACACAGTGGCCACTATGGTCGGTAAACCTGATATTTCCATGCCCACTGGAACACGAGTTAACAGTCTTACAAGGAGGTGAACTCCAGCATTGAAGAATGGAGGTTGAGTGTGTGCTGGGCGTTACATTTTCTGTCCTGGGATTCTTGATTGTTTGTTCTTAAAACTTGATTTCCAAGTTTAAAGATTTATAGCTACCCTTGACACACTCCAGTTCCTCACCCAGCTTCTCCCATCTCATGCATAACCATCACTTCTCCTATAGATGTCTTGAAGTTTCTCCTTGCTTCTTTTTCTCCCCACCTCTTAGCTTGGTTCCTTATTACTCTCTCTCTCTTTCTCGCTCTCTCTTTTTCCCACATTCGCTTATTTATTTTGTGAGTGTGCATGTGTGTGCACATGTGTGGAAGTCACAGACAACTTGCAAGTAGCTGGTCCTCTCCTTCTACCATGTGTGTTCCAGGGATTGACCTCGGCTCATTCACTTCAGCAGTCAGGACCCTCGTCCACTTTACCTGCCCCTTTCTCAATTTTCTACCCCTAATTCCTGTGGCCACTCCAACTCTTAGCTGCACAGGGAAGCACACACTCTAAATATGTGTCTAGAAGCTTCCGTTTCCTACGCAAAGATCTGATAAATATTCTCCTACCTAATCCTTACTAATTTGTTGCCGTTCCCAATCTTTTATTCTAGAATGATGAGGGGCTAGGACTAAGAAGAGGGCTAAAGGACTACAGACAGCAAAGGGAGGTAAGGGAAAGCTTGTGATGGGCATTAAGGAGTGAACAAAAAGCAAGGGATAGCTATGCTGTTAGCCCACGGGCCTGCCTGTCAGAATAACATGAAGCAAGAGCAGGTTTCTGAAGCCCCTAAGAAGACAGGGTATGGGAGCCCACGTTGTTAAACCGGTCATTTGCACAGACCCTGCCGTGGTTCGCGTGGGCGGTATTATTCACACAGCCAGTCAGTATGAACACCCCGACGTAACCCCTCTCTACTCCCGGGGGAAAAAAGACTCAGAGCAAAGGACAAAGGGTTACTGTGCTGTTCCCTCCCTGTAAAAGGGAATAATAATTTTGATGGATTCGGTGGGACATTTAGGGGCCGAGTCAAACTGTGTGGGTAATTGTTTTGTAAAGGTGCTAGGACTTAATTTTCAGATCTGAAATGAGAACAGGTGGTGGTTGGTGGCAGGAGTCACAATGGTTTCCATGGCAACGGGATTGGGTTTTAGTCATCTCTCCCATCCTCCACAAAACGTACTGTAGCTTTCCTCATAAGGTGCTTATTAAATACTTGTTAAATGAATGATGAGCCACTGAACGGTGTGTGCTCTTTGCAATTAAGGCTGCCGTTCTTTAGCTAGACTAAAAGCTTTTAAAGCAACAATAATTACTGTGTTTACTCATGATATTTTGCATAATTTGCATAATAACTTTAACCTGCAAATAATAAACTGTGTACTCGTTCCAGTTGAACAACCATGGCCCATATCATGTCCTCTGTCGTAGAAGAAGTAGCCCCGAAGTTTGGTTAAAATGGCTATGCGGGGAGGGGGGACAACCTGGCCTGAATTTGTGTTCTCATTTTGGCCTCAGGTCGGGCCCCTCGCCTCAGTTCTGCGCAGGCGCAGCCTTCCCCCCTCTCCCCCCGCGCCCTTCTTCCCGCTTTCAGGCAGGAACTGGCCGGCAGGCCCCAGCACCGCAAACTGAGCTAGCGGGCGTCCCGCGTTGCCCTTGGCAACCATTGAGCGGCTTCTCGCTCTCCCTTGCCCAGTCGAAACAGTAAACGGAGCTTTTATTGGCTGGCCTGGACAGCCTGGCCAATCGGAAGAGAGATTACAGGGAGGCGGCTGAGCGGGCTGTGGGGGTAGGAAGCTAGATTAGTAGCAAGACGTGAGGCTAGAACCCCGAGCGTGGTCGGTTGGAGCAGATATGTCTGCCCGGAGGCACATTGGGAATCCTGAGGTGAGGGCCAGGTCCGGACCCGAGGGCCGGAGGGGGCGGGCGCACCGGAAAAGGCGCCACGTGGGCAGGGACGAGCAGTCGGCCACTTCCGCCGCCTGGAAGGCGGGAAGTAGCCAGCGTGAGGAGGGGGCCGAGCTCAGGGCCTGGGGCGGGGCAGGCCTAGGCTCTGCGTCAGGAAGCGCCCGCGGTGACAGGCGTGCTCCCCCCCAAATGCTGACCTGACAGCAGTGTTGGAGGGTTGGAGGAGCCAAGTACGTAAAGACACAGCCCCTGCCTTCAAAGAGTTTATAGTCTAGGAGTGACACTTGCCAAACAAGTAAAAAATAAAAGACACTCCAGAAACATGGAAGGTGAAGGGGCCCATCACTTCTGAGGGTCGGGTTACAAGCAGACCAAGCCGTTGCAAAAGGAGCAAAATGGGATGCTTTCTATTGTACCTTTTACTTTATTCATCTCGTTTACCTTCCGTGCCCTTCTGCATTTATAATGTCACCCAGTATGATTTGACTCTTACCAAACAAGTTCCAGACCTACAAAGAAAACAACCAAGTCTCCACCCTTTGTGAGTTCAGTCTAGAGATGGGAACTAAACTGGAATTGAATACGATGATATTGGGGAAGATGTTAGAGGAAGATAAAACTCAGTTGAGAGAACGAGGAAGGTTCTGAAGTCGGAAGGGACTGACACATCAAAGCTGTTCACTAGTCAGGTGAAGAGCGTGCTACTTAGCCCAGCACGAACAAAGCTAAGGAGACATGAGCTCCCACCAAGCCTTTGTAGGAGTCTACAGAGGCAGGTTGAGAGAGGCCTTCTGTGCCTTCAGACCGAACACCAGTTAGTTGTAGGTCTTTCTTGGCGAATGCCTGGTGTCCAGAGAAACTGTGACATGTGCATTGGAGCGCCATGATAATAATACCTATTATTTTATGGTTTTGGTTTCTTGAGACAGGGTCTCACATGTACTGCTGGCTGTCCTGGCACTAGCTCTGTAGACCAGGCTGGCCTCGAACTCACAGAGATCTATGCCTACCTTTGACTCTTAAGTGCTGGAATTGAAGGCGCGTACTACCACCACTCAGCCTTGATAGTAAATACTACACAGTGTCGCTTCTGTTTTGGAATATAAAATATAAAATCCAACTCGTTCAAGAAGAAAAGTAGAATAGCGGTCACCAGAAATTGGGGATGGGATACAAAGAGATGCACAGACACTGGTCACAGGATGGCAAGTTAGTTAGAACTAAAAATTCTGAGGTCTGTTATACAGCAGGATGGGGTGATGACTGTCTTTACTAACCTGATTTAATAATTCCATAGTGTGTGCACATCTGTACTGTGTCCTGTAAATAAATTTAAATGTTTAATGAGATGCATGTGATGGGGTGGGAGAGGCGGCTGTAGGGTGACAGCGTCCTTCTCCCTGTTGGTCAGAACTCGAACTTTGAAGAAGTTTTGGTAGTGTGGTCAGATTTGCATGTTAGGCACAATTGCAGCCCACCATGGAGGATGGAGTTGAGAAGGCCAAGGCAAGAAGCAGAGAGACTGAGGAGGTGGCTCTGTTGGTGTGTGTCTAAACAGGGGCTAGGAAGTAGGGACAGAGTTAGGGAGACATATGGGGGTGAACCACTCCAGCAGGTATGATCACCCTCGAGAGAGGGCACTGAGATGGGTAACTTGGATGTCCAGCGGAGGAAGAGAATGTTGGGGCGGGGGTACAAACAGTTGCTGGGTTTATGGCCTTCCTTGAGTAGAGGGCAAGTTTCCAGGAATCATGAGAAAGAATGCATAATTACTTTTGGAACTAAAATGTAAGGCATGTCTAAAACTGTTTATATTCTACATTCACCTTTTGATTTTTCTTTTTCTCGCTTGAGAGTGTGGCTGAGGATAGAATTCTTGGTTGGAAACGTCAACATCTTGGAAACACTGCTCAGTGGCCCAGCAGCCAGCGTTTCTGTAGGAACCTCCAAAGCCATCTTGTTGTTTTGTGACCTGCTTCTTTCAGGCAGCCTCCCTTTATTCCTGGTGTTAGGACATTTCACGAAAAGATCCTCGCTATGGTCTGTTTTCACTCACTTTGGTAAACACCAGAAACTGGTATCTTTCTAGTTTGTTGTTTTTTTCTTGAGTTATTTTATTGTCGACTTTATTTTCTACATGTTCTTTCTTGTATTTGTTGTTTTGAGATTAGACCCATGGTTCTGATTTTTTTTCACTTTTATCTCCTGTCTATTTTTGTCTTTATGCTTTAAGAAATTTAACTTTATTTTCTAATTCTTATATTGGTTGTAATGTCTGCTGTGGTGTGTGTGGGAGGTATCTATGTGTGTGTGTGAGAGAGAGAATCACTGTGTGTGTGTATGTGAGTTCATGTGTGTGGGTATGTGGGGGGCCCTGTATGTGTATGGGTGTGTGTGTATAGGTCAGTAACCTCAGGTACTCCCCTGAGATGCTGTTCACCTTGGGTTTCTTGCTGTTGTTGTTTTGGTTTGAGACAGTCTCTCCTTGACTTGGGACTCAGCACTGAGCTAGGCTAGCTGGGAAGCGCATCCCAGGGAATGGAAGCCAGGCCCTCATGCTTGGCCAGCCATCCTTTTACTGACCAAGATGTCTATGTCTCAGACCCGCATCACTTGCAAGAGCCGGTTTTCACTGTGATGTCCCTTTTCAAAGCTTTGCAGAAAGGTGCTAACATCGTGAGAGAGGTCTGTGCCTTTCGCTGTGTTCCACAAGTAGTAAAGTCTGCACGATTTGTGCGTAGTTGGAGGCCATCTCCACACAGATGCAGGTTCCATATAGTCTAATTTGTGTCTGTGTAGAGCCGCAGTCACAGGGGAGAACTGTAGTGCCGCGGTAGCTCCTCTGCCTCTCCCACTCACACCCAGTTTCCTCTCCTGCTGCCCCTCCCAGTCCTGCCCTCATCCCTGGCAGCCACAAAGCGGTTGTCCATCTTGAGAGTGCTATTTGAATAGAATCGCCGATAGAAAAGCCAATTTCCAGCTTTTTCTACTTAGGATGATGTCCTTGAGACACATCGGGGGTGAGCGTGCGTGCAGTCGATGCCTTAGTGATGACCAGTTCCTGTAGTTTGGATATTCAGTTTGTTCACTCATTGACTCGTTCAGTCAACATAAGACGTTGTGGTTGCTTCCAGTTTGGGACTATTAGAAATAAAGATACCTGTCTTTGGGTACAGCTTTTTGTGCGGGCATTAATTTTCATTTCTGTGAGATAAGTGGGGACCCAGTGGCTGGGTTGTATGGTAAGCATATGTTTAGTTTTAATAGAAAACACCATACGATTTTCCAGAGAGGCTGTACTGTTTTCCATTCCTGTCACTAGTGAATGAGAGTCTTAGGTTCTGCAAAAACCTTGTTAACATCTGTTATTGTCATTGTTGCTACAGCTGCTCGCAGTAGGTACACAGTGTTATCTCATTGTGGGATTAAAAGAAAACCATTTGTGTGTGGAGTGCTTGTGTGCTATGGTATGTGTGTGGAGGGCAGGGGACAACCTGGAGGACTGGCTCTTCCTCACGCCGTGTGGTTGGCAGGCTTGGCACTGAGTGCCTTTACCTGTTGAGTCATCTCACCAGCCCTCATTGTGGTTTTAGTTTGGGTCTCCTGAATGGACACAAACTGGCAATCTTTTCATGCGGTTATGTTATCATCTGTCATCTAGACAACTTCTCCAGCAAAATATCTTCGTGTCTTTTCCTTTTCTTTCTTTTTCCTTTTAATTTTAAGATAGGGTCTCACAGCCAGGCAGTGGTTGCGCACACCTTCAATCCCAGCACCAGGGAGGCAGACGCAGGCGGATCTCAGTGAATTTGAGGCCAGCCTGGTCTACAAAGTGAGTTCCAGGACAGCCAGGACTATTACACAGAGAAACCCTGTCTCGAAAAACAAACAAAACAAGAAAAGATCGGGTCTCCCACTGGAGCCTGGACAAACCTTGAACTCACCTCACTTCAGCCTCAGCTTCGGGAGTACAGGCAGGGGTCTCTCCATGGGGCTTCCTGCTCTACCACTTGAGCCCTGTGTTCCCTTTTCTTGCCATTGTTGCTGACTGCATAGATACTGTTTTTTAGACAGCTGATAATAATTAGAATTTAAATTCCTTCCTGCTTTTTGATTTTCCTGGCGTTTCTGTCTGCCTTTACTTTGAGTCTACACTTCTTATGAATAATGTGTCTACAAATCATTATCACTGCTTGTAATTGTTACTATCAAATTTTATTTTTATTCTACTTTATATTTAGGAAAATTTCCTACACCACTATCACTATAATTTTTTTCATAATTATCATTTCCAAAACTTCCTCTCTACACATTTTATGTCGGGTGGCAAGGAGAGATTTATATTGTAATTTTATTTTACATAAATGTTGTATTGTACATATGGTGTTTTGACTTGCTTTTTCCCCCCACTTAACAATATGTCTTGAAGCTCTGGGTGCCAGCTGATTCCATTTCTGGTGAGGACTGCCTTCGCTTGTAGATAGCTACCTTTTATGATGTCTTCACGGTGTATGTGAGGAAAGAGGCAGTTCCCTGGTGTCTCTTTTTAAAAAGTTGTCTTGTGTTTTTTAAAAGTTTACTTTTGAAGTTGGGCATAGTGGCGCACACCTTTAATCCCAGCACTCAGGAGGCACAGGCAAGCAGATCTCTGTGAGTTTGAGGCCAGCCGGGTCCACATAGTGAGTTCCTGGGCAGTCAGGGCTACATAGTGAGACTCTGTCTTTAAAAAAAAAAATTATTTATGGGTGTAGGTGTGGTATGTGCATGTGTACATGTTCATTCCTGTGCGTGTGTGGTCAAAACTCGACATTTAGTGTCTTCCTCTGCTGCTTATTTTGTGAGACAGGGTCTCTCACTGAACCTGGAGTTCCTGGGATAAGCTCTGTTGGCTGGTCAGTGAGCTCTGGGAATCTGCCTGTCCCCATCCTGTTGCCCAAGTCTCCCACTGCTGGGGCCACAGATACATGCCATCATGCCCA